TTGCCAGTGGCTGTGCAGATCACAGTGGTTCTAAGCTTGCCTTGAAATTCTTATCACCTCCTAATTTTCTTCACTGATACATTAGGCCTGTACAGAGAAATATCCATGGAAGTATAAGGGAAGATGCTGAATTCTGAGAGTGCCGTAACAGGTATTTATTTATTTATATTTAACTTAAAGGCTTGCCTGACCCCCTGATTTGATGGAGGTTGCTGCTTTGGAGGAGCTCCTTCCTGCCCTCCAACCAGCTGGTGGGTGGGGGGAAGCCCTGCCCCCCAAGAGCAACCACCTGGCCTCCCCCACTTCTCCCCACAGGGTTTAAAAGGACCTTTAGATGCTGCTGGGGAGAGGCGGGGGCCATGTGGTCACACTCTGAGCCCCATGTGCTCACACTCCACAGCTTCCTCCCCTCCCCACCTTTGCCCAGCACAGTTTGAAAAGAACCTTTACACGCTGCTGTGGAGAGGTGGGAGCCTCCACTTCCCAACATGATGACATCACTCATGAGTGATGTCACACCTGAGTGACATCATCCTGAGTGATGTCATCATGCTGGGGACTCCCCACCCCCTCCAGTAATGCCCCCCAAAGTCCCCTGCTGTGGACTTTGAGGGACCTGGCAACCCTATAAACGTATGAATCCCCCACCCTACCAACAGGCTCTGGGTGATTTACATAATGGACATTAAAAAATACAAGTAATATAAAATCAAAATCACTGACAATAAAACAGAAAGTTAAAACCAATCAAGATGGCCACAGAGTAATCTTCCTTTGCTGACTACACCACTGTCCTGCATGGCAAGACAAGGAACAGTAGGTGGGGGGCCATACAAGAAAAAGAAAACAGGGTGCCAGTCTTAACCTCCTGTTGCTTCCCTCAACCGTGAGCCTTGAGGAACATCTCTGTCTTACAGGCTTTGCAGAATTGCACCAGATCCTGCAGGGCCCTGATGTCATTTGGCAAAGAGTTTCACCAGGTCAGGGCCATGGATCACCAGCAAGTTGTTATCAGCTGATCTCAGCATTCTTCTGGGGACATATTGGAGGAGATGGTCCTGAAGGTACCCGTATGCAGATTGGTCAGTCCGCAGTGACTGCATCCATCATAATCTCCCCATCCATCAATGCCTCAAGAAGGGGTCAAACAAATAATGGCCCCGGTCACACGGGCCAGATAACGCAGAGGGGAGGTGTGGCTGTTCGCCCCAGAACAAAATAAAGTGTGGTAGCCCAATCACACGGTCCCCCAAGTCTCTGTGCTTCGGCTGTTAGCTGGCGATCACATGGCAATGCTGCAGTGTGGCAAAGAAGCGGCGCGGCATGATCACACAAGTGTTTTGCGTTTGTGAGCATGTGCAGTTCCACGGAGCAGCACTGCTTTCAGTTTCATGTTTGTGTGCATGCGCTTATGAAAAACATCTGGTTTGCGATGGGACATGGACGGGCGCTGGATGCCATGGGATACTAGCGCTCCTGCAATCAGACACACACCTGTGCTGCATGTTTTCCAGATACTAGTGCACTTTCTGAGGTACTTTTTAACTCTGCAGGTTGGCCATGGGTATGCTATGCTTCCCAGATGTTGTGGTGTGATTGTGCCCCAAAAATCTGCCCGACATTCATGCCTTTCGCACAGCAAATTCTCCGTGTGACTGGGGCCAATGTACGTCAGAACTGTAGAAAAGCTTTTTGTCCTCTCTCATTTACAGGGAAATACTGTATTCAGTGTGGAAACATTGGGAAGGGACCCAGACATATACACCTAATTGTGTGTGACTGGGAGCAGTGCTGGCACTCCGATAGAGGCAAGGTTAGGCAGTTGCCTTACAATGCAATCTTAGAAGGGTGCCAAACTGCCCTGCTGCCCCACCCCCACCCCATCCTCCCCTCGCTAAAAGAGTCACCCCAGTGGCCACCGGCTCTCTGCTTTCCAGGCTCTGGCTCGGTCCTCCTGAGTGCCCAGGCAGCCTCGCGGCATGAACGTGGTCATCCATCAGTGGTGAGAGACTGGAGGGGCGGTGGCAGAGAGAGAAGACCCCCGCCCCAGAAACGTGGGAAAGGTGATTGTCCGCCCAGGGGTCTTGTTGTAGAAAAAGAGCTGCCGGAGCTCATTAGCATAACTCATTAGCATAACTTATTTGCATATGCCACACCCCCTGACATCACTGGAAGTGACAGAAGGCCACACCCCCTGACATCACCGGAAGTGTGTCAGAAGGCCCGGCTACTTACCCTCCTGCTTCATCCTCATTCCCAAACGGAATGAGGATCGAAGCAGAGGGCGGGGTAAAGAAGGGGGCGGGGCTTCACCACGTGACCGCCCCGCCCCCTAGAGGTTCTCTTCCGGAGCTCCGTACCTGAGAGCTCCCCCCCGACTAGAGCCCTGTGTCTGCCCATTGCCTTCCTTTCCCCTGGCTTCTCTTGGGCTCCCTGGTGGAGGTGGCGCTGTCGAGCAGAGGACCCAGGTAGGCAGGCCACTGCTCCTGCCCCTCTTCCAAGCTGCCATGAGAGCTGTGGCATGCCACTTTCCCACCTTTTTTGGCACTTCCCGGAGGGAGGAGAGCTCCCACCATTTTGGACGACGGAAAGGTTTCCTCCCTCTGCCCCCTCCCTCCTGCTCCCAAGGGGGCCCCTCTTCTTGGTACACCATCTTCCCCATGTCTTGCTCTAGCAAGAGGTGTGTTTCCCGCCCCACTGCCGTAGCCCTCGAAGCTGCCAGGCCTCCCCCTTGCACCTGCTGGAGTTCTTCCCTGCTGGGCTTCGCTTGGGTCTGCAGCTGCTTCAGGAGGCTGCAGCAGCTGGAGCAGCAGGGCGCCTTCCTTCCCGGGGGAAAGAGGCTGCCCGGAGGTTGGAGGGGTTGCCGGGCGCCTGGAAGTAGCTGGTGGGGGGTGGGGGAGAGAACGAGGGAAGGACGCCGAAGGTGCTTGAGGCAAAGTAGGAAGCCCTGGAGAGTGGAGCTGGGGGGGGGGGTTCTGTGGGTTGCTTCCTTGATCTGAAGTGTGGAAGAAGGACTACATCTGAGTCCAGAAGTGCCTTAGAGACCAACAAGATTTTCAGGGTGTACGTTTCCAGAGTCAATGTTCCATTGCTGGTGGTGGGGCTTAGCTTGTGAGCCCACATGCCCGAAGCATGGGTCCGTGACAGAATTAAAAGGCAGGCGGACTGGTAGGGAGTGTAGATTCAGGTGGGGTTTGCAGGCAGCAGAATGAAGTTTGAGTCCAGTGGCACCCTTAAGACCAACAAAGTTTTATTCATTGTATAAGGCAGGGAGTGTGTAAGGGCGAGCTATAAGAGATAGATGAAGGCAGGTGCTGTCTGAGTTTCATTTGCTGGGCAAGAGCCCTGCTTGCTTGCTTTGTGTTTGCTTGCTAAGAAACAGAAGCCACACACACACCGCTCCCTTGGCGTTCGCACCTTTATGTCTGCTGGGGAGGTGGCCTTGCTTATCAAAATCTGGAGTGTCATGCTGAGAAATTTCGTACTGGCTACAGGAGTTTTCCTGGCTAGAGTCCCTTCCCCTTTCTCTCGCCAGATCACTGAAGCAAATGCCACTCTGTTAACTTAAGGGGGGTGGGCAGTCTATCAATGAAAACCACAGGATGGAAAGACTCATTTGTTTGCATCCTGTTTCCTAGGAATAACAGGGTTTGTAGGAAAGGGGGGAGTGTCGCCCTGTCACAAATGGTTCTTCTTATTCCTTCTGTTTTACTACTTCTACTTTACTTTTAAGGGGGAGATCATTTTCAGGCTTTCACCCTGATCACAGTATCTGTTTTTGATTACATAGTCACTTGCCCCCACAGATGGAAGAAAGAGTCAGACAACAAGGTTGGATGAAATAAGGCCACTTTATTAACATATTAAAGTTACTGCAAGGGCGAACATGAAACAGCGGCTCGGTCAAGGCCTGGTGTCGCTTTGACCCCATCCGTAACCGTATAAAAGGCAAGACACCATGGCCCTGGGTTGGAGCCAACTGTAAGTCGCTTGCAAACCCAGCCGAGCCAATTATTGGGATGCGCCTTCAGGAGCCCTCAAACACCACCGCACGGCCAGCACTGAGTCTCCATCGTGGCCATCCCCACAGGCAGTCTGCAAGCCTCATCCCTGGCCTGACAAAATGACATTTATGTTAGATCCAGCCCGCGTGTTAACAAAGGAGGTGAGCCCGCGGGGGGGGGGGGGGTTCCAGAAGGTAGCCTCGCCTAGTGTACAAAAAAACCTCAGACAACTGCAAAATAGCATACCAAAGGAAATATGGACTAATAATTTTAAATGTGCTAGAAAGGAGAGGTTACTATCTCTGTAAGAAATGTGTTAATTAGCTTGGACCTATGACTTTTGTTTTGTCTGCACAAAAAGCCTTCTAAGAGAAACAGAAGCCCCAATGGCACCATAGGTAGGAGGGGTGTTCTGGAAGTCCTCACTGCAGTTATCTGTTTGGGATGCATTATCTTCTATATATAAGCCCCAACATTTTCAACTCTCACAGGGAAGAGGGGAGACCCAAAATTTCTACTTCTATCTGCATTGGCATCAGAGGTTGTGCATCTGCCAGGGCCCTGGACTTCTAGCAGGGCTCATTATTACTGGACTCTGTCTATATACCTCCCCTACCACCTTTCTAAGTGCCTTTCCTTTGCCCACTTGTTAGTGCTTTGATGCTCTCAGCTACATTGGGCTGCCCACAATTCCCAGGAAAGAATTTGCAGATACTGTCACTCCCAGCCATACACACCTCATGGTGCCCTTGAGGAAAAGGCATGCAGATGGCTGTGGGAGTGGTCCAGAGCAGGTAGGCAGATTATGCATGGGGAGGTGGGTGGTATGTTGGAGGGGTCAGAGATCATGGTGATGGACATAGGAAGAGAGGGGGAACCATGAGCACTCTTCGCCCAAGGCCCATCAAAACACAGAACTGGCCCTCAACTCTGTCAGCAGTTTTTGAAGTGATTTAAGAAAGTCAACATAATCTTTATAGTATAGTAGATCTAAGGCTAACATTTTTTCAGCACAAGATTATTCAACCTCATTTTTGCAGAAAAGCTTGCAATTAGTTTTGAAAAGTGCCCCAAATCAGAGAGCTTCAATAATGCATTCTTGATTTCTTTGTTTCTTATACTATAGATGAATGGATTGAGCAAAGGAGGGAGAACAGTATAAATTATTGCAAAAAGAACATTCTGGTCAGATGAGGTGTGACTGCGAGGCCTCAAGTAGGCAAAGATGCCAGTCAATACAAGCAAAGACACCACAGTCAAGTGGGGAAGGCAAGTGGAGAGGGCCTTTTTCTGACCATGAACGGAAGGGATTCTGAGCACTGCTGCAAAAATCTGCATGTAAGAGACAATGATGAAGATGAAGCATCCTAGTGAAAGCAAACAGCCAAACATAATAATACCAACTTCAACAAGATACATGTCAGAACAGGAGAGTTTTATAATCTGTGGAATTTCACAGAAGAACTGATTGATCCTGTTGGAGCAGAAGGTGATGGCAAAAGTTCCTCCACTGTGTAATATACCAAGGAGTATACCTGCAATCCATGCACTGACTGCCATCTGAATGCATGCTCCTCTGTGCATTATTGTATTATATTGCAATGGATTGCAGATAGCGACATACCGATCATGTGCCATTATTGTTAAGATCGCAAGATCTGACCCTTCAAGGAACAAGAGGAAGAAAACCTGAGCCACGCATCCTGAATAAGAAATGGACCTCATGTTCAGGAGGGAATTGACCATAGCTTTAGGTACCATGACAGAAACCAAGCCAAGATCCAGAAGCGCCAGGTTCATGAGAAAAAAGTACATGGGGGTGTGCAGGTGATGATCAAAGGCTACAGCAACGATGATGAGAAGATTGCCACTCACTGCAGTCAAGTATACTGCTAAGAATACAAACAAATGTAAAATTTGTAGTTCTCGGATGTCTGAAAATTCCAGGAGCAGAAATTCAGATGTGGAGGTAAGGTTGGGCATCATGCCCTCAATATCCAGCAGCAGTCTGCCTGTAGGATATATTAGAGAAACCATTTTATTCTAGTAATGCCAATTAACAATTAGACTGGCTTTCTTGTTTCACCGTCTCAGTCTAAGAGACAGCACTGAACTGAATTGAGTGTGGGGGGAAATGGGACATTTTTCATCAGGGACAAAATAGCCAGGGAACAAGGTCTCTCACCTGCAGTGCTCAAACACAACTTCCTCATATTAAATGGCAGTGAACTACACTTGCACAAGTTCCATGCTTATAGATTCTAGCCACTTGATCTGGAACTATATCAAACTTCACAAAGTGACTATGTTTCTGCAGGTTGTGCATGCATTGCCGTTGTGCATACAGGATTGTTCATGGAAAATAGGGCAGTTATACTTTTTTGAGCCATGATCCACACTCTTATTCTATACTTAAAGGTTCTGCTGTAGCTTTTATTTTTAACCAGGATATGTGCTCAATGCAGCACTTTGAAATAGTAAAGTAATAGATGATGGGAAGGAGTAACTTTATCACTTTTCTACAATAATTCAGTACAAAACATACATACTTATTGATTGTCCAGGATTAGAAATGATTGAATACCCTGAGGAATCAGTATTCCAAGTACTTCCTCTTCTTTTCATCCTGGGATCTCTTTTCATCCTGGGATCTCCTATGTCAGTTTCTGCTGAGGTTGTAGCTGAGTTTGCAAATATTGTGTCTTCATTCCGTATGCTCATATGGTCAGATTGATGGGTATCATGAATTATAAACGCAAAACTCAGGCTCAAAGAGAGCTCTGCAAGCTATGATACAGAGGAAACAACATGAGCAATACTAAACACATGGTACAATGAGAAAATGTATAAGAACATTGATAATGTCAGCTTCAATTTCCTCTTCAGCTTCCAAAATACATATATCCTTTCAGCAAAGTAATTCCTTACATCTAGTTGTGGGACTTGCTACAATGTACATTCCTAATTTCTGTCTAACCCAAATCAAAATGACTGTGTAAATGAGAAAGAGATCCATTTATATTCTGCACCTGACAACTTAATCCCAAGAGTTTAGCTCACTTAATTGCAATCTGAGGCTGAAACCTTTTCCCCTTTGCTATATTATTTCTTCTGTTTTTGAAATAAGCATAAGTTGATAATTAGTGCAATATGTCTTTGTCTGATTACATGCAATAAGATCAAAGTCACAAAAGAATAATCCACACTTATCAATACATCAGATTTCTTCTATGGCCCGTCACACGGGCCGGATAACGCGGAGGGGAGGCGTGCCTATTTGCACCGTCACAGTTTGATCCACAATTATGTGTTCAGATGCGACGGAGGCTTCCTCCTTTGGCACCCACGGCAAACAGGATGACAGGGGAGAAAGCTGTGCACAGGCACGATCATACCGGGGGAATCCACATGCAGCCCATGGCAAACCATTTGCTAGTAGGTCGTCCCAGGTACTTTTTTCATGTGCACGGGTTCACCACAGGAGCACTACGCCTCCCTGATATTCTGATGTGATCGTGCCAGAAAACTATGTGGGAGAATCGTGCCTTCAACGTGGCAAATGCTCCGTGTGACTCGGGCCTATGATGACTAAATCCAGCTGACAAATGACATAGGATGAGCCAAGAAGGTGTATAGAAGAAGAAGAGGAGGAGGAGATTGCATTTATACCCCACCCTTCGCTACCTAAAGGTGTCTCAGAGTGGCTTACTAACTCATTTCCCTTCCCCTCCCCACAACAGACACCCTGTGAGGTAGGTGGGGCTGAGAGAAATCTGACAGAAACTGCTCTTTTTCAAGAACAGCTGTGCCAGAATTATGGCTTGCCCAAGGTCATCCAGCCAGGTGCCAGTGGAGGAGTGGGGAAATCAAACCTGGTTCTCCCAGATTAGAGTCCGCGCACTTAACCACTACACCAAACTGGTTCTTTGGTATATGAGTTCTGGGCTTAAAAAAACTTGATGAAGACAGTCCTTCACATATTTTGGTGGCAAGTAGAAATGGGCATGAAGAGGCTGACAAAATGAAGTTCATCATGAATTTTGGCCTGTTCGAGGTTCGCAAACCAGAGTTCATGAATTGAAGAACTGGGACCAACTACCTTGAATTTTGGCACAATTCATGGTGGTTCATGACAATTCATGAAGGGCAGAAAGCTCTTCATGAGAAACAGCTAACAGCTGTGAGCTCCCCACCCCTCAGCTGTTGGGTTTAATATTTTCATATTGGATTTATATCTTATGGTTTCAGCTCCCAGCAACTTTCAATGGGAGCAGAAAGCAGGGTTTAAATGGCCCTGCTTTCTGCTCCTTGGGAAATAACACAATGAGCAAAAATGAGGGTTTAAGTAGCTTAAATTCTGAAGTCATCTAGAATACATGGTTATTATTTAAGGAAAAGCCAAGAGTGTGAAAAGCGTGCATGCAATCTATACATCTGACCTGTGGAATTCTATATATGCTGAACACGTTGACTATGTGGAGGGAGGTTTCATAATCCAGTCCCCCAATGACAGCCATTTAAATTCCTTTGATAGTTACAACAGTAGTTGGGGATGATCCTTTCAAGGTGCAGAGGAAGGTCAAGTTGTTCTGATGAGTCAACTTGGCATGGAAGAAGCTGTCATAGATATGAAACCCAAGGCAAGTACTGGGTAAGATCTTGGGGTTGTCATTGACTTCCTTCACAGCAAATGTCAAGGCAACGACATGCTAGTAGGTCTTCAGTCATGCTCTAAATCTCTTAAACACCTGCTATTGAAAAGACATCAGATTCATGACATGACCACCATACCCAACACACCAGTAATGCACACCTTTTCCAAACAAGTCAAAGAGGATGAAGAAAGCAATTTTACGTATTGCAATGTTTGCATGGAGAACAAAGAGTACAACTCCCTGCTTTCTCCCATGGATCCTCACCAAAAATGCTTAGTGATAATTATTGACCTGTTTTTTTTAGTGGGGGGGGGAGCTTTGTAGAATAGCAATGGCTTGGATGTAGCCAGAATTTTTTTTACTAAATCTTGTGTAATTCCCTTCTGTAGTACATGTCTTTGTTTCATGCAGGTTTCATGATTCCAGTTTCAGTCTTGTTTGGAGGTCAAAGGGGATTCCTTTCTCCCTTTTTCACAAGCAGAAAAAAACAATCTGGATCCAGCTCAGTGTATGTTTTGTCATCTATGGGGAGATATTTGAAATACAACAACAAATACACAGTAAAACCAAGGCCTCAGACCCTGCACTGAATGAACTTTCATAAATGGCAAAAATCCAGGGTAAGAGGATGTTGTTGTAAGGATATAAATGTCAGCAAATGAAAGGGTAACCGTGATTAAATAAAGGAAGAGAAACTGAAATGTCTTAGAGGAAAATGAAGAAAAGTCCTAATGCTATTTGGATTAAAAAAAAATTCTTAAGAAAGGGAGAAGCAGATGATTTAGAAGGGAAGGAGCAAAAATTATAATGAAATTCGTAATGCTAGCAGAAAACAGATATAACACAAAGGTACATTAAGGAAAATTGCAAAACATTTTGTAGTATGATAGGGCAGCTAAAATGCTTGACAAAGAAACAAGTAGATGTCCATGTACATTTTAAGAAGCAGAGAGTGTTCCATTTTTTCCTCTTTTTATATTTGTTATTTTTCCCCTAATATTTTGAATGTTCAGTTTTTAGATTCATCATAATAGAAATATTCTATTAGTGCGGCTTTTATACATAACATTCATGCTGTTTATCCATAGCATAGCCAGATTATAAACACCCAAGACATGGGAGCATGTGTGGACCTAGAGAAAAGACATGATGTGAGGAAACAAAAAAATGGTATGAAAATAAGGCATGATGGGTTCAGTTGACATGAAGATGAAGTGTGTGTGGTTGAGCTGGGGTTACAAGGCAATACTTGCATTATCTACTTGCACTGGCTATAATCTGTCTGGCTGTGTACACTGGAAATACGTGGCCAGGTGAGGAGGGGGTGGGCAGTGCAATGCCCTTCAGATGCCATTGATGACCCATCCCTTTCCCACTCCCCCAGGCCCTTACTAGGACCAGCCATGGGTTGATTTTTCCCACCACTGCAGCCGCCCAGCCCCCTTGTTGCCCCTTCCCAATTTCTAACATGGCTGCCTGGTACTCAGCTGCCTCCCTGCCCTCCATATGGGTTACCATGTTAAGTCACAACCGCACTTCCCTTTGGTGGGTGGCATTTTTAGAGCTGTTCTGAAAATCTAGACGTAGGAAAAAATAATTAGACCAATATGAATGAAGCCCAAAGAAGACCCACCAGTGATAACCCAAACTGTAATAAGAATCAGAGCAAGATATCTTAATCAGCTGTGGAATTCACAGAAGAATGGATGGATGGCATTGGAAAGAAACTCATCTGTGAATGTATTTCCAGTATACAGGAAATATACAGGAAATAGAAGTGTGGGCTGAATTTTTCCTCTAACTGTATTAAAAGCCTGGGTAGGGTCAGAGGCATGATCCCATAGATGCATTTAGCCCAGGACTTTCAGCCTAAGGGAGTGTTATCCTCTGGGGTCAGCCCAGGATGCATTGTATTCTGTTTATTTTCATGTATTATTTGTTGAAATTGGTTGTATTTTTTTCTGTGAGCCCCCAAGCACACAAACAAACTACTTCTTGTGAATTTTTTCACTGCCTCACTTTGATGGACTTTCTGACTCATAAACCTGAGGTATTCCTTTTCTTAGCCACAAGAAGGGACAACCAGGGATTCTACCCTGGTGTAATCAGTAGGAAGTTTATTTCAAAACCAGGGTGCCACCACAGAAAGAGCCCTGTTTCTGATCAACACCTACCTAACCTTGGTAACAGAAGGTTCCTGGAACTGGAGTTCAGCAGATTACCTCAGATGTATGCAGGTCCATCTGTGGTGGTGGAAAGAACCAACAAGTCACTGCTAACTTATGGTGACCCCACAGAGCTTTCAAGGCAAGAAATGTTGGAAGGTGG